AACTCTTTCCACGATATGAAGCTGTTTACATACATAAATTACATAAGTCTAGGCTGGAAAAATATTTGTAATCCATAGAAATATTTGTTCCCTGCAGCCTTTAAACCAAGAATCCTCATCATCCGCGCCAAACCACACAACGCTAAGCCAAGCGCCACAGATCCATTAAAAGTTATTTAAAAAAAGTCATCAAATGACATAATGGTGTGCAAACTAAAATAAATACTTTGTGAAACGCGGAAAAGGATTCGATTTGCATCAATTGCGTTAGCCATCCTATATAGGCGTTCAAATTATCGTAAATATTAATGTGAATTTTGTGGAAACATGCAAAGCATGCTGTCGATCCAATGTCGATCTTTAATCTTTAAAAAATCAAAATTAGTCCTTTTCTTTTATAGGATAGGGCTAACAATCGAGCACACAGTCCACCTGTTTGAAAGTGGATGCTGTCGCTCATGGACATCATCATTTACCCTCTATTAAGAAGCCAAATGCAGATGATTTCTTACGTGGTAGAGCCATGCTGCAGTTATATTAGTAGTTTAGTTGTAGCACGAATGGTTCGGCTCGACCGAGAAAGAAACACGTTCTCACAGAAAACCAACGTAAAAGTATCTGTAGATTAATGTTGCTGCGTTTCGTATGGTGACTGTAGAGAACCGGAGATCCTTTTTACTGGAAACGATGCATTCCATCTTAGTCCTCACGGGTGAAAATGCATGTGTATTTTGTTTTGTAATCGAGAGCCACAGCAACCACTTACCATCAGGTGGACTGTGTGCTTGTTTGTCACCCTATCCTATATAAAAAAAGAGTTTTTTCAGTTTTTTCCCAGTTAAAACGGTCTTCGGTCTCTCTACACTCGCCATATGAAACACAGCAGTATTGAGCTGCTATTTTACACTGGTATTCCCTTGTAGCGTGAAAGCGTTTTACACGTTTCTCACGGGAATTAAGCCCACGGCCCTAAGCTACGTGTCCATACGCCAAGCCACCGCGCTTTCAAGTCATAAAATTATTAATAGTATTACAGAATTATTATTTAATGATTGAACATAATTAAAAACCCAGTTTTGCTTATAACAGCAAAACTAGAGCGAAGCAAGTTTCACGAAATCGTATACTGCGACGCGCGTATTTGTTTTAGTTTGACACTGATATTATTCATTCATTCATTAAAGCCTTTACACTGCTGAAAATATGCCTCTTCCTCATAGATCGAGAAAAGCGGGCCGAAAACAAAAACAATTGATTGATAAATGTAGTTCTCAAAATAAAAAATAAAGTGATGATTTTATAACTGACGATAATAAACGTTTGCTTTCTGAACAAGTTTGTTTCATTTAGCAGCATTTAAGATGCAATAATCTAGATACAACTAACGAAAGAGAGCAGAGGATGATACCGACCAAGACAGACTCCTGTGCGTAAATAAAATCCTAGCATCCATATTATTTTAAGTCTTATTATGGACATATGTCTCTGCCATCATAAGGAGGATTTACATTATACTCGTATATATATTCATCGATATGTAAGTACTACGCACTAGATTTGGCACTCAGGACACTCACTATGTTCAACTGAACCGTACTGCAATCCGTGGACCTGTTATTGTGGCTTTGATATTTATGCAGGGCGGAGCGGGGCTAATAATAATTTTATATTAAATTAGCACTGCAAATAAAGAAAAATTAAAAAAATGTACTCGATTAACAATAAAATCTAAATTAACATTTATTATGACAATTTTCGCGCGTTTATATCAACTGCGAATGCGCGACTCTACTGTTACCCGCGCATGTGCGGATAAAGAACAGTATACATTTTTTGTTTGTAAATGCTTATCTCATACGTAGTACATATAACTCAATGTATATATTTTATAAATATACTACCATCTGTCACAGATCATATTATGATTTTTGGCGTACCGGTTACACGGCAAATATAAGTGCATATATACTATATTTTTAAGCTATTGCATAGCTTCTATCGCGGGCCTTGAGCGCGGGGACCGAATCCAGAAATTCCGTAACGAAAAAACCTCACGCTCCCCACTCCGACGGGCACGGAGGTGTAGCTTGAAGGCCGTGCATTGTCTAACGATGATCTAACGTCGTTTCTTTTCGGCAGTCTTCGACACGGTGTTTGTGTATAAAGTGTTTTGAATATAAATGAACAAAGTGCATTTATTATTAATGAAGAAAGTCACGAAAAATAGTGAAAGAAAATGAGTGAGTACTATATATACATACATTTTATTATTATCACAAATGCAGTACTAATTTTGAAATGAAAATATAATACTGCTATAAAGATAACCTAAATTTTTGATATTAAAATGAGCGATATTAAAAGTAGCCCTCTTTATATACACACAAACACACACACGCGTATAGTTTAAATTCTCAATTTAGATTCAATATATATATATATATATATATATATATATATATATATATATATATATATATATATATATATATATATATGCACTTATTTTAACTGAAATATAAGGTGATTCTAAACTACAATATGCCATGGCTGCAACTGGTGGTTCTACTCATGATACTGTACCACTTTCCCCAAGGAACCCATAGTCAATTCTCAAAAAAAAATTGCACTTTGTATGGAAATCGGTCAGCTGATTGGCCAAGTCTCCATACAAACAACCCTGGCATATAATTTAGAAGCACCTTATATAACAACATTAGATACTGTAAAATAAAAGATATTATTTTTACTCACTCATGGTCAATTATTTATTTATTTATTTCGGAACATTGTAAATGTAAACCTTATATTAAATCAGTTCCTATCTTATCATTAATCTTAATCTTAGTTCTTAACCTTAATCTTAGTTAATTAGTTATTAATCTTAGAAATCCCTGCCTAATTAATAATTAGCCATATTACAAAAATGAAATAAACTTTGTATTCTCCTAGTAAACATCTGGATAGGAGTCCGTAAATTAAATAAAAAGATAATGTTTTTGATTCAACATTCATTAACCTCAAGTATTTTTTATTACAATTAAAGGGTATTTGTTTTCAACAATCATATTAAACAAACTTTTCTTATCTATCTAGTCATATTTAAAATTTACCAGAGTCAGGTTATGGTGCATATATCACAATATTGATTCTACGTCCTTTCATTTCGCATTATTGTAGCGTCCACCACTTGTAAGCAATTTTAATACATTATGACTGCGAATATTGGTCCATTAAACAATTTCAAAGATAGTGTTTAACTCATTTCTTTGAAAATTTACCATATATCGATATACAAATATTCGTATATTGCCAGACGGAGGGAAAGCAATCAGGACTCCCTTCCATATTACAAATTATCCAGAATCCCCAGAATATACATAGTTTTTAATTCATTCTCCTGCTTAAGGTGACACTAGTCGACATTATTTCCATAGAAATTTCGGAGGGGTTTTACTCCGCTGTTTGACAGTGTACATCAACAGTACATACAAGTGACAGTTAAACATGATATCGTTTTGTCTCATTATTAATTTTGTCTGTACGGAAACAGAATAGTAAAATAAAAAGTCATTAAAAAGTTACGAGCTATCAAAGATTCGTTTTTATTGCCAATTTTAACACAACTTTGGGCGTAAATTAGTAATAAAAGCAGTGTAAAATTTCCAAGACAGCAGTACCGACACAGCTCAATTATCGAAGAATTCAATAAATTTTATTTGTAATTGATTTATGCAGTGGTTTTTTCATAAAACCCCTTCTTCCAAAGGCCTTTTCGTATTTTTTTACGCGCGCTTGTTTATATGAATTATCGTGCATCTCACTGAATAATGTTTCCCCCGGTGCGGTGCGGGAGGACGACACTTACACACACATGCATGCGCGGGGACGCGCGCTTATTCTAGTTTTATTCGACTCAGTCAGCTGCGGCCTTTGACGTTCGTATGACTATAGCTATACCTGCGCTCTAAATTACTACGCTACATTGACCCCTGCTTGAACTTTGGATTTCGATACTACTCTGTTTGGCATAGAAATTGATATTATTGAAAGAGATGATGCGTTTTGGACGGCAGACAAAATTTTAAAATTAGATAGCTTTTATCAGAAATGTGTTTTGCCTGAGCTGGTAGATCCCCGTTACCCTCGCAAACTACAATTTAGAGATCGAATGTAAATCAAATTGATATAAGCACAGACAAAAGTAGCGGAATATAAATAAAATTTTGGAAAAAAAAAACGATCTCAAAATTTTATTAATGTTGCGCTAATTTTATCTGTACTTATCTATGTCAATTTGATTTACATTCGATTATAATTATATTCTCAGACGTGCAGGTTTCCTCAATATGTTTTCCTTCACCGCCGAGCACGTGGTAAATCAGCACAATTGCTATTAACAATTACATTGGTGCCGGCGGCGTATTTTGAAAACAATACTGCAGGTAATTTTATTTTTTAATTATTCACTTTATATTTTTCTTTCTATATCTTGATAATACGAATTTGATTTTTTTAGAAATACATACCTGGTGAAATTGTTCAAGTCTGCTCTACGTGTTATACATCTTTGGGAAAAGAAAAATTTCCTCTCATGTCAACCTACAATGGTTTCGCATATCCGAAAATTCCATCACATTTACCAACGTTAAACCTTATCGAGCAACGGTTGATTTCCCCGAGAATACTGTTCATGCAGATTCGTAGACTGAGACACGTTAATGCTCAGTACGGTATTTATGGCCAGATAATTAATGTAACTGTTGAAGTTAATACAATGGTGAAACAATTGCCAAGAAACATTGAAGATGACCATTGCTTTTATGTGCATTTGAAAAAGAAATTGATTCACAAAACTAGTTATGTCCACGGGCTTATAAATAAGAGCCATATTAAAGAGTGGTTGTCGTATTTAGTATCTACGCCTTTTTATATTTATCATGACATTAAAATCGATGAATCTTTTTTTTTTCGGCAATGAACGTACTTCGCAATTGAATATGAATGAAATAAGTGAACTTGTGCCAATTGAAGACAATTTAGTTGCGCAGCAACAAACTATTTTGTGGAATGATGATTATTTTTTGAGTATAGTATCCGGTGAATATAACAGGCCAATCAGTATTTTAATGGATGAACATGCGGAAGAACTATCTATTCCGACAATCTACGGCGGTCAGTTTCGAACATACAGAGATGGTGTTATTGTTACTCCATTCATGCAAGCTACCAGCGAACTTCGGCGTACTGATAGGCGTGCTACTGACCCACAACACCTTTTATACATCGCTGCTAAAATCATGAGGTTGAGAGTTAGTAAATGTGTCAACGTTGCGTTTAAGCATGTTGGACAAGGTACTTCAATTACGAAAGAGATCATTCAATCTGAAAAATATATAAATAATTGTTTAGAAACAAATCTCGCATTTCTTCGCTGCATACCAAATTCTGTTTGGTTTTGGACAGATCGCAAAAAAGATGTTTTTGCAATGATTAGGCAATTAGGGCCACCAACTGCTTTTATCACTCTCAGCGCCAATGCAACTAGCTGGGAAAATATGTTGAAATTATTGTACAAATTGAAAAACGAGGGAACGGAAATTTCAGATGAGGTTTTAGCAGAAATGAGTTATGTGCATAAAGCTCAACTTGTGAATGAAGATGCCGTAACTTGTGCTATCTATTTTAATAAAATGGTAAATTGTCTGTTAAAAATTTTGCAATCAAAAAAAAGAAGTCCATTCGGAAAATATAGAGTAATACATTATTTCAAAAGAATAGAATTTCAACATCGTGGTAGCCCACATGCTCATATTCTTCTTTGGTTGGACAATGTTCCTGAAGATTTATTAAGTAATGATCCCGAAGTAATTAAATTAATCGACGAATTAGTTTCTGTGTCAGCGTCAGAGGCGTCTGGAAATATATAACTAGTAACACACAAACGTAAAATTTCACGTGTTATAAAAAAATGGATCCTAATAAAAAACAAGAATGTCGATTTGGTGCACCATTTATGCCTACAAAAAAAACTATTAATTTGATACCTATGAAAAACACTGATCCCGATTACTCAGAAGCACTTTTCAAAGAATATAAGGAACGATTTAAATTTATAAAAAATAATCTCGAAAATATTGACTACACGGATTTTGATGAATTTTACTCGCATAATGGTATTATTTCTGATGATCATTACCACAATATTATTCGTGCTGGTATCAGTAGACCAAAATTATTCTATAAAAGGACACCAACAGAAAAATGGCACAACACTTTCAATCCATTCGTATTACATCATTTGAAATCCAACATGGATTTTCAGATTATACTAGATGAATATGCTTGTGCAACATATGTTGTTGAATATGTCAATAAGCATAATAGTGGGATTAGTAATTTGCAAACACAAATAATTGACATAATGGACGAGCATCCAGAATTCGACATTGTCGATATCACGAAAAAAATGAGTATTGACATACTTGTCTGTTGAAATGCCGGCACAAGAAGCTGCTTGGTATTTATTAAGAGAACCTATAGCTAAGTCATCGGTGGTGTCAGTCTACATTCCAACGGTATTTCCTACTGAACGCGCAAGAATTATAAAATCTGTGAAGGAGATTGAAGCTTTAGATGATGATTGTACGAACATTTGGAAAGAGAATTGGCTTGATAAATATGAGAAAAGACCTGAAGAACTCCGCGACGTTACGTTAGCACAATTTGTTGCAAAATATTACCTAAATACAAAGGGGACTTACACTAAAAGAGATACTGCAAGAATAATAAGATACAGGAACTACGATATGGCTGACAATTACAACGATTATAGGCGTGAGATGGTTCTGTTGCATGTTCCTTTTCAAAGTGAAGAAAATGATATTATTGCTGAAAATAAGTTCATTCAAATATACGAGGACAACAAAGATACGATATTAGAACGTAGGAAAGAATTTGAATCAAATTTGGACATAGAGAAAACTTTAAAAATTTGTAGACAGTTGTGCCGAGAAAACGATGAAGAACAAGAAGACACGAACACGAACAAGAAGAGAGAAGAGATCCTTATGACTTATTGCTACGTGATCCAAACTCAACTGCTAATGTTGATTTACAAAATGCATCTCTGCATAAACTTGGCGCTGTAGCTAAAAAAAGAGAAAATTTAATGGATTATCAACAATTCTATAATTTAATGCGGATGGCCAATGATCAACAAAGAGATATTCTCATGACTATAATTCATCATTTACAAACTTCAATTCAAGAACCATTTCAAAATTTTTTACGGGACCAGCAGGTACGGGAAAATCATTCGTTATCAAACTGATTATGGAAATTTACAATAGGTTCACTGATAATGATGGTTACTGCAATGCCTATATTACATGTGCTTCAACCGGCAAAGCTGCCGTGGCTATTGACGGTACAACTGTTCATACAGCGCTCAAAATTTCTCTTTCAAAACTTTTGCCTCTGTCATCAGAAACGTTGCAATTGTATAGATCTCTCTTCAGATATGTCAGAGTACTGGTCATTGATGAAATTAGCATGGTTAGTGCAGAACTTCTACATAAAATTGATAATCGTCTAAAACAAGTAACAGGCAAAAAACACAGATTTCGGAAGTATAGATGTTATTTTGATCGGAGATTTACGGCAATTGCCACCAGTAAGATCGACACCAATTTACAAGACAATCAAAACGAGCATGATTGGATCGCATTTATGGAGAAAATTAAAATTTTATCAACTCACCACAGTAAGGAGACAAGCTAATGTTGCATTTTTCACAATCATCATCATCATCATCATTACAGCCCTTCACAAGTCCACTGCTGAACATAGGCCTCCCCCAAGTAATGCCACAAAGCACGGTCCTGAGCCACCTGCATCCATCGACTTCCTGCATGACTTACCAGGTCGTCACTCCATCTAGTGGGGGGTCGCCCTACACTACGCCTACCGGTACGAGGCTGCCACTCGAGAACCTTTCTTCCCCATCGGTTATCGGTTCTTCGAGCTATATGGCCGGCCCATTGCCACTTCAGCTTACTAATCCGTTGGGCTATGTCGGTCACTCTGGTTTTACTGCGGATATCCTCATTTCTGAGTCTATCACGCAGAGAAACTCCGAGCATAGCCCTCTCCATAGCTCGCTGAGCGACCTTAAGCGTCCTCATACGGCCAGCAGTGAAGGACCACGTCTCAGATCCGTAAGTCATCACTGGCAACACGCACTGGTTGTACAATCTAGTTTTTAGAGATTGAGGTATAACTGACGAAAAGATATGCCGTAATTTCCCGAACGCTGCCCAGCCGAGTTGAATCCGTCGATTGACCTCTCGGTCGAAGTTGGACTTACCTAGTCGGACTATTTGTCCCAGGTAAACGTATTCGTCAACAACTTCGAGCATAGTGCTCCCAACAACTACCGGCATAGGTGTGACATGGACATTGAACATGATCTTTGTTTTGTCCATGTTCATCTTAAGACCTATCCGTTGGGAGGCACTATTGAGGTCATTGAGCATAGTGCTTAAGTCCTCCAGCGATTCTGCCATAAGGACTATATCGTCGGCAAATCGAAGGTGAGTGATGTACTCGCCATTGATGTCAATACTGTATCCTTTCCAGTCCAGTAGCTTGAAAACGTCTTCCAATGCAGCGGTGAAGAGTTTCGGGGATATAACGTCACCCTGTCTTACACCTCTCTGCAGTTGGATAGGTTTCGAGCTCTGGTTCTGTACTCGGATAGCCATCGTAGCCCTACTGTACAAACACTTCAGCACTTCGATATACCGACAGTCAACTTGGCACCGCTGAAGGGACTGTAGCACCGCCCAAATTTCGACGGAATCAAAGGCTTTCTCATAGTCCACATACGCCAGGCAAAGTGGCAGATTGTACTCTTCAGTCTTCTGTACAATCTGCCGCAGGGTATGTATGTGGTCTATGGTACTGAAGCCTTTTCGGAAACCGGCTTGTTCGGGAGGCTGGAAGTCGTCAAGTCTGCGTGCGAGACGATTCGTAATGACTCTCGAAAACAGCACGTAGACGCGGCTCAGAAGGGAAATCGGTCTGTAGCTCTTTAAGAGAGCGTTGTCGCCTTTCTTAAAGAACAAGACCACCGCACTTCTGCTCCACGCCTCTGGAGTAGTGCCACCATGGAGGACGGAATTGAAGAGCTTCTGAAGGACTTCAAGTACCGGTGTTCCACCCGCTTTCAGAAGCTCCGCTGTAATTCCATCCTCGCCTGGGGCCCTGCCGTTTTTAAGGTGCTGGAGAGCCATTCTAATCTCGCTTAGACTGACGTCCGGGATATCATCGGAATAGTGTCGGATAAGACTTGCTCTTGGATCGTTACTCACACTTGCGTGTGGCTCCAACGATGATGTGTACAGCTGCCCATAGAACCTCTCAATCTCACTCAAAATCTCAGGTGTCCCGGAAACGATGTTGCCACACTCAGTCTTCAGCCTTGACAGTTGGCTCTTTCTGGCAGACAGATCTCTGGCAAAGACTTTGGAGCCCTGGTTCCGCTCGATCGCTTCTTTAATACGAGAAGTATTAAAGTTGCGTAAGTCTCGCCGTATGCATTTGGAGATCTGTCTGTTCAGTTGCCTGTATGCTGTCAAATCTGTTGACGATTGCAGCCTCATCTCCCGTCTAACAGCCATGAGATTAAGAGTGCGATCGGAGAGTTTTTGTGTTCTTCTGCGGCGGGTCTTGCAGAACTTAGCTCCGACCGCATGGACAGTTTCCACGAGCTTGTCTTTCATATCGTCCACTGCATTGCAATCTTCTAGGCACTGGAAGCGATTACGTAACTCGAGCTGAAAGGTTTCGGGATTCTGGATTAGAGCACGAGGGGGACGGAGCGTTGACTTCATTAGACGAGACCTCTCCAACTTAACGTTTAGGTTCAGTGTGCCTCTAACCATTCGGTGATCGCTGCCAGTTTTCACCCTTGCGATCACTGAGACATCACTGAACAGTTGGCGTCTGGTCGTCATAATGAAGTCAATCTCATTTTTTGTCGAACCGTCGGGGCTCGACCAGGTCCACTTCCTGTGGGGCCGCTTCTGGAAGAAAGAGTTCATCATAAAGAGTTCCTCTTTCTCCATAAAGTCGGCCAGCTGCTGGCCCCTTCGGTTCCGTTGCCCTACTCCAAATTTCCCTACCTTCAGCTCACCGCTTTCTCTTGTGCCCAGTTTTGCGTTGAAGTCTCCCATCAACACCGTGTAGTAGGTTTTGGAGGAATGTATGGCTCTGGAAATATCCTCATACATTTCCTCCACCTCCTCATCGGGATGTGCCGAGGTTGGTGCGTAAACCTGAATGACCTTCAGCGAATACCGTTTGGTGATTCTGAGTATCAGGTACGCGACCCTCGTCGACACACTCCCAATCTTTACAACGTTGTTGACGAGAGATTTGTGGACGATAAATCCGACACCTCCTTGGGACAGATGGTCGCCCTCCCGGTGATAGAACAAGTTGCCGGACTCGAGGATTGCCGTGTCCTCCCCCTCTCTTCGGACCTCGGATAATCCAATAATATGCCAGCGCAACTTGTCTACCTCTTCTTCCAGCTCCAGTATCTTCTCGTCAGTCCTCAGGGTGCGTGCGTTATATGTTGCCAGGTCGAGTCGTCGTAGGTGGCAACCGAACCTCCACCGGAGATTCTTAGCACCCCCTGCCCCGCCGTTACCATGGTCGCCACCGTAGCCAGGAATAGCGGGGCCGCCGGGGACTGGGGGCCGTCTGTTTGTGTATTTATTTATTGGGGGGTATTTGCCATAGTTGCCACGCTTGGCGAGCGGGTTGGCAACCACAGTTTTTTATTACGTCACAGTTGTCATCAGGAAAACGCTGCTGCCCATCTCCTGCCTGTCTCCCTCTGTCGCCTCTTACGACACCCACGGGAAGATATGGGGTAGTGGATATTCTTAACCGCCACTACACGGCAAGTTTCACAAGTTTTGACAAAAATAAGTAATGGAGATGTTAACATCCTCTTTTTTGAAAAATCTCGATTCAACTTATTGAATCGAGATTTTTCAAAAAAGAGGATGTTGCTACATTATGTCCTGATGGAGTTCGTTTATTTTTTAAAAATGAAGATGTTGCCGCCTATAACAATTTGATTTTGAGCCAATGTGAAAACAAAGTTCTTTCAACGTCCGTAGACGTCATTATTGGCGCTAAAAGTGCTGAGCAAGAAGCTAATTTTAGACTTAAATTACATAAAAAATCTGTTATTGACACTGGAGGATTGCCTTATCACATAACTTTTGTCGTTGGAAAGCATTATGTTATTACAACTAACATCGACGTTACTGATGGTTTGTGCAATGGTGCTGTTGGGAAATTGGTACATCTAGAATTTGATGAAAGTAACACATTAATAAGAGTTTGGCTGGAATTTTGTGGTTCAGATAAAGTGAGTAGGAAAAAAAGGCAAAAAGCACCCGCTCTAGCAGTGCAAAACAGAGTTTCGCACAGAGAGAGGCAATGTCGCTGTTCCCATTGAATTACGAACAGCAAATATTTCATTAACATCGGATAGAAAATGTATAGCCAAACGCAAACATTTTCCATTAACTTCAGCTCTTGCTCTAACTATACATTCTCAGGAACTCGTTTATGTTGCGCTCTCTCGGGTGACTAATATTGAAAAATTGTATATCACGACAGAAAACGATAATTCTACATTCAAGTTTTATCATAATCGAAAGCAAGCTGCATCGACTGCATCTTTGTTGCAAGAATTCAAAAGACTGTCTTTAAATAGTATTCAGACGATAGCTCAAAGTGTATTAGATTTCATTAGTAATAGAAATGGCATTTCAATAATGACTTTCAGCTGCCAAAGTCTAAATAGTCATAAATACGATTTACAAGATTCAGTTACGAGACAAACAAATGTGTTACTTCTTCCAGAAACTTGCATGACGCATGATAATCCGATTGAAATACCTAATTTTAATTGTATTGTTCAGTTCAAACGAGATACTGTTCCAAAAGGTGGGGTAGCTATTTACCAAAATAAAAATAATATTACTAATATTATGACTCCGAATATTAAAATAAATATTGCACACGTTAGCGATGTTAATGTTAGGCGCTCAGTTGTTGGAGATATTTGTGCGTGCTTATGCAAACTTAGAAATGGCCTACAAATAGTTATGGTTGCAATTTACATTTCTCCGAATCCAAAATTGGACGAAGTAGAGCATTTTATTCATCGCACTTTACTGGAGTACACTGAAGAAGGGTCGAAAATACTTGGTACAAATGGTAATAAAATTCCACTTATCTTGGCTGGCGATTTCAACATTAACTTCGCTGATAAAAAATCAGAGCGGTTGACAACTTTTCTATCAAAAACATTGAATTTGAAAATGAATAATAATCCACAAGAGTCCACAACAAAATATGGGACCACCATTGACGCGGTATTTTCTAGGTATTTAGAGGATATTAAGTCGCAAACTTATGTTTCTTATTTCAGTTATCACAAACCTATAGAGTCAATGATAAATATTCCTGAATAACCAACAGCTACTGTAACAGTTTTATTCATAAAAATCCACTAAAATGACGTTATAACAGTGATTAGTTAAAATGCTCAATAGTATTATTAAAAATATTATAAAATTCTCTATTCATAAACGTTCAATAAACCTGTCATAGTTAAATCATATTTATGGAATACCTACTTTAGTTTTATAATGTTGTCATTCTTATGAATCCATAGACAAGCCACGGTAAAAAAAGAGTTTGACAGCAATTGTGACATTTCCCTCAAAACAAGCGTGGTGTTTTCGTTAAATCGATTCAAGAAATTGATTTATTTTATATTCATATATAACTCAATAAAAATAATGGAAAATTGAAATAATACTAGTTTTTACGGAATTTATCGCGTATATTTAACTTTTTAAATACCCGACGTTTCGAACGCTTTACAGCACTCATGGTCACGGGCAGGACTGAGATGTTCAACGTCCATATGTCATAGTTAACCGCGGTTACCATAGATTAAAATTTAACTTTTGTTCCGATCTACGATCTACGATCGACCCATGAGTGCTGTAAAGCGTTCGAAACGTCGGGTATTTAAAAAGTTAAATATACGCGATAAATTCCGTAAAAACTAGTATTATTTCAATGTGTAGTGTTCGCGTAAATATAAGGAATCATTATGTAAACCAGTACGGACTGGTAATTGCAAATAAAATACGCCGATTAGAAGATCTAAAGACCAAGCGCGCAAGATATCTAACAGCCTTAAATTTCTTGAAGGGATGCGTGACATAATCTTATTCCTATGTGTGTTAAAATATCAACCAAAAAGGACATTCGAGGAAGCGCTAAGATCTTAAATCAGGCGAGTAAAAAGTTGTTACGGACGGTAATCCAACACAAACGCTCCGATCTATATGAGATAAACAAATCCATAGACACATCATCCAGTGAAATGAAGAAAATTTTAACGACGTTTGACTATAATTTTTGCTTGGAAACATTAAATAAACGCGAAATTAGTAAATATAATGAATGCAAAAACAAACATATAGAAAAATATCAAAAATTAACGAACAAGTCAAATATCAAACATCTGAATCAATGCCAGAACCGAAAGCAACCATTGACAAACACAGATCATAGATTAATCGCGCTCTATAATCTGTCAAAACAAACAATGGATGATGCAACAATTAGGGTTTTATCCAAAGGCCTCAACTTTGCAATTACACCCCGCAAATTACCGTACGAAGAAATTATCTGTAGTGTAGAGGACTGCTTATTTAGAAAACAATATGCGGAAAGAAGATTTGGAGGCGATCAAGACATCTCGTCTATGTTACGTCGATGTTCAGTGCCTAAACCGAATCTTCCCAAAGACGAATTTATAGCGTTAAAGAACCTACGCAATAAACACAAACTTACGATTCTCCGCGCAGATAAGGGAAACGCCACGGTAGTCATGGATACGTCAGATTATAATTCTAAAATACAAGAACTTTTGTCGGATGTAAGTACTTATAAAAAAGGTTAAAAACGACCCAACAAATAGCACACTAAAAACAACTAGTGACCTCATAAAGAAACACTCCGAAAAATTAAATCTGGACGTAAAATGGATAATACCTACGTACGCCAAATCACCAAAATTGTATGGGTTACCAAAAATACACAAGCCCGATGCTCCATTACGTCCCATAGTGAGCCAAATAGATTCACCAACTTACAGATTGGCTCAACACTTAGCGAAAATACTCTCACCACTCAGGGGACATACAAGAGCACACATAAAGGATTCCTACCATTTCGTCAGCGAGATTAAAGACCTACATCTGGCAGACAATGAAACTATGGTCAGTTTTGATGTGCAGTCATTGTTTACATGCTTACCTGTTGAAGACTGCATCTCAATTGTAACTAGAAGGCTGGAAGAAAACAACATGCCCGTAGAATATGCAGTATTACTCAGACACTGCCTTACATCTGGCTACCTATTGTGGAAGGAGGAGTTCTACAAGCAAGTAGATGGTGTGGCGATGGGCTCACCTGTATCTTCCATTGTCGCCGACATATTCATGGAAGACTTTGAGGAGAAAGCCCTACTTAGTTCTCCCATAAATCCAAGGTTCTACAAGCGGTACGTAGACGACACTTTCACAATTCTACCTTTAGATAAAGTAACTGCATTTTTAGACCATCTTAACTCTATAAATTCTAAAATTCAGTTCACAATGGAGTTAGAGGCAAAAAATTCCTTAGCTTTTCTAGATGTGTTAGTAATTCGGAATCCTGATAACACCTTGAGCCATACTGTGTATAGAAAAAAGACCCATACAGATAGATATTTAAACGGTGATTCTCACCACCATCCTTCACAGTTAGCTACCGTGGGTAAATCTTTGTTTCAGAGAACACGAGGGATCTGTGACAGTAAACCCCTGGCTGCAGAGCTCCACCATGTCAAGCAAGTTTTGCATGACAACAAGCTTCGAGTCCCGCGCCTACATCACAGTGAACGAGTGAAGCCGGCCACAGTCGAGCGTGTACCTGCTGTACTGCCATATGTTATAGGAGTTACTGACAAGATTGGCTACATCTTGAAGCGCACTTCCATCAAAACATACTTCAAGCCGCTGAAGAAGATTGGTCAGTTTTTACCATCAGTCAAGTGTAATGACCCTCTGCAAGATGCAGGAGTGTACAAGCTTGATTGTGAATGTGGTCTCTCCTACATAGGACAAACTAAAAGATCAATAAAAACCCGCGTTAAAGAACATATAGCTGATGTGAAGAATCGACGCTCCGGGAAGTCTGCAGTCTGTGAACACGTACAGGATCCCCCCGTCCTACATCAGATTTGATAGACCGCAGATCCTCCCTAAAGAACACCGATTCCTTCCAAGGATGATTCGCGAGGCTATTGAAATCAAAAAACATCCTAATTTCAATAGAGAAGATGGCTGGGTGCTACCATCTGCTTGGGATCCTATAATAAATAAAATTAAATCCCAACCCAAGCATACAACTGTAAGACTTCAAGTTACCATACGTTCATACTGCATAGATCGGAACAAAAGCTAAATTTTACTATAACATATGGTCGTTGAACATCTCGGTCCTGCCCGTGACCATGAGTGCTGTAAAGCGTTCGAAACGTCGGGTATTTAAAAAGTTAAATATACGCGATAAATTACGTAAAAACTAGTATTTTTTCAATGTGTAGTGTTCGCGTAAATATAAGAAATCCTTAAATAATGGAAAACGTTACATGTAAAAAGTGGCAAAGAAGTGAAAATTGGCTGAAGGAAGATAAGGTTAGTTTGTGACTAAAGTAATTTTCTCATAGGTGATTAGTGGACAAATGTTAACTGTGTTGTTATAATAGTATCCTTTTTCTTTCCATAGCATTTATTGATGGATTTGGTAAGGGAGCGTGTATCAGTAATTGAAAATAAAAATACTGATACAAATACAAACTCAAAAAAGCTAGCAGCATGGGCAGATTTATTATGCAGGTACATACTTTTGTCTATCAATTTGTGAAGTGTTTGAAGATGAGTCTTCAACGCAATGATATTCTATATATGATCAGTTACATTATTATGCAACAGAAGCATGTCACTTCGTTTCTTGCTGGTCTAATGCTTCACATAAGCTTTTAAAGTCATAACAGTGGGCAGTCCACGTAGTTCGTAGAACATAGGATTGGACGGGTTGATCTACTATGAGAAAGCGAAGAAAAGTCCTCAGGATCGCTTGCATTGTGATTGGCCCATTTTGAATATTAAAATGTCAAATATTTGTATAAATTGTGATTATACTTTTTTCCAGTTTCAACAGTATATGTAAAGGTGGCACTTGCACTCTTCCCCAAATAAAATCCCAATGGAGCATCATTAAAATGACGAAAAAGAAAATTAAGTCCGTCGAACGAAAGAATCTTCGCCAGACTGGTGGTGGTCCACATCCAACTACGAACCCTGAAAATGCAGACGACATTTGTTCATGGCTCCCTAACGAATTTGTCATTGACACCAATGAATTTGATTCTGATGAAATAAATCAGGTATTACATACGTCAAGATTCTAAGTTAAAGGTCACTAGTTTTATCTCTACCCAGTACAAACTTTAATGTTGCGTAATAAATATATTTGTTCCTTTTCTACCTAAATAGCATACCTACTAAAGTTTACTTAATGATATAGTTATCAAAAAAATCCCTGCTTAATCACATTATTAATTTAATTATTTATTGCATTGTTTGTAGATTGGGGAGCCATCGCAAAATAAAATCAAAGTGGATGGGATAAATAAACTTGTCAATGTTGAAAACAAGTCTTCAGATAATGTGAGCATCCATAAAGCATTGAGATAGCTAGCAATTTTCATATTTTTCATACCTATTTTATTTTTATATTTTACTGTTGTAGGACACAAAGAGTACAATAAAGGATGTCACAGTAGAAATACTTGAGGAGATCCAAACTACACGAGAGGTAAATATGTGAAACGTCATAAACCAAGTACTTACTAAACATTTGCCAAAGTGGGAATCGAACCCATAACTTGATTTGTAATCCTGGATTGTAAAGTTTAGGGATAAAAATAATAGTTGAATAAACAATGGTCTATTTAAACTTAAATTTTATTTGATGAAACATTTTATGTCAAAGTATATTTAAGATTATGTTAATGAAAACATGTTTCTTTTAACGGTTTCGCTTTTTGAACTCTACATCGGGCAAAGAAAACGGATCATATCTCTTCTGGTAAACCTTACGATGACGATGCGGAACATTTCCTAGTTGCTCCATAGCTTCTAAGGGTTGAAGAGCTTGCATATCGACACTTTTTAGTAATCAAAATCCACGAAAAACAATTTCACCAACAATAACTTAAACGACTTAAACAAACAGCTGTTCGCTGCTCGCACGCAAGTCGGCCATATTTTTAAGCTATTGCATAGCTTTTAAGCTATTGCATAGCTTCTATCGCGGGCCTTGAGCGCGGGGACCGAATCCAGAAATTCCGTAACGAAAAAACCTCACGCTCCCCACTCCGACGGGCACGGAGGTGTGGCTTGAAGGCCGTGCATTGTCTAACGTCGTTTCTTTTCGGCAGTCTTCGATACGGTGTTTGTGTGCATGCAACTAGACGTATTGTACGACTCTACGAAGCTCGCACAAATCGAGACGAGCTGCTCCGAAATCGGACGAATACATAAGCAGCTGTTTATGAGAAAGTATATAGGTGTATAGGTATTTATGTACAACAGTGAATAGCTGTACTTGTAAAATTTGTGTATAAAGTGTTTTGAATATGAATGAACAAAGTGCATTTATTATTTATTTATTTATTTAATAAAAGAAAAAATTTGTTTTCTTATCGGTCACCACGCTCAAAAAGTGTAACTTGAATTAATATCAAAGAAAAAGAAATACTGCATAAATAAAATAAATAAATAATTATAATTGCATAAGTTGATACAAAATGCTATGCAATAGCTTTATCGCGGCAGTCCCCGAGTGCCACACGTCTTTTTTTATTTTATTTATAAACGTAATAGGTATCTTTTAATATTTTCCCGATGACGCTTCCATGCATTTTTGTCGTTTAAAATGACTGATATTAAAAGCTACGTAGCATTAAGTTCTTGCTCAATGGTTGGTTAATAGTTAAGTTACGTCACGTCACGTCAGTTAGGTAAAATGTTTGACCCCACCGAACAGGTTCCCGCCTTGTCGTGGCAGGAGGCTTAGTAGCTGTACTTTGGTCACCCACATTAAACAAAGAGGAACCCACATGGCTAGCCCGAGGTGAAGGGCTGGCACAAGGTGGCCCCAATCCGCTTGGGCTTGATGAAATTTTGAGCCCACTTTGGATGTGTGTTGCTGTGATGCAGTAAGAGGGGTGTCCCTCCTCCTTTCGCTGCAGCCGAGGTGGTGACGTGGAGGAAGATAAATATCGGTATGGCGTTGCACCACTTGGAATATCCTCCTCAAATCTCACGAAGACTCACCGGTAAAGCTGCGAACAAAAAGGAGTGTTGCTATTTTGAGTCGCCAAACTGCCTACCCTTCACAGCCAAATCTTTGTTGACGTTGGAACCATAGACCACTGGAGTTAAGAGAGTTAGTGCTTCTAATTGCTCGTTTTCCCTGGCTCCATGGCTTTCACGCATCGGACACGGGGGCGTCCGTTGCACAGATAAAGTTGGAGCCCGCGGAGGAAGGCGTCAATTGTGTTTTGGCGCGCCTTACCTGAGAAGGGGTTGGGAAAGGTGTAGTATACCTATGCATACACACCTCGTGGGAGTAACGACGGGCTATGTTGGACTCGTACCAAAATAAAGCCCCATAGTATTCCACCTTTGCCCTAGTACTCAGAAACACTAGCCTTCCCGACGCTAGCGACAGATCAAGTCTATGGCTCTGCCGCCAACAAAGATTCGGCTGCGGAGGGTAGGGAGAGCGGCGCCTTGCAATACCGACACTCCTCTCCCCATGCTCTACACTACCACCACGTCAACGGTGCAGCAACATTAGAGTAGCGGAGGGTAGGACGAGTAGAACATTGTCATACCAACACTCCTTTTTCTTCCCAACTTCACCTCGGCTGCAGCGATAGGGGGAGAGGACACCTTTCTTGCCACAGTCCACCAGCACACATCCAAAGTGGGCTGGCTGGCACTTAGAGTGGCCTCCTCAGGCCAGCCCTTTCACCTCGGGCCAGCCATGTGAGTTTTTTTTATAGAAGAGGGGGCAAACGAGCATGCGGCTCACCTGATGTTAAGTGACTACCGCCGCCCATGATCAACCACAACACCAGGGGAATTGCAGGTGCATTGCCGGCCCTTTAGAAAGGAGTAAGCTCTTTTCTTGAGGGTCCCTAGGTCGTATCGGTCCGGAAAAATCGCCGGTGGTAAACTATTCCACAAAGAGGTTGTACGCGGAAGAAAACTCCTTTTGAAACGTACTGTGGTGGACTGCCAAGCATCCAGATGGTGTGGATTTGCTGCGTAGTGCGTTCACGAAATTTGGCGGCTGGGATTAATCCGAACAATTCCTCAGAGCACTCTGCATGGTATATGCGAAATAAAATGCAAAGAGATGCAACATCTCTTCGCAGTGCCAGTGAATCGAGCCGATCGGAAAGCACTCGGTCGTCGACGATTCGATCCGCTCTGCGTTGGATGCGGTCAAGTGGAAGGAGCTGGTACTGGGGAGCCCCAGCCCAGTAATGGGAACAGTATTCCATGTGCGGCCGAACCTGCGCCTTGTAAAGTCGCAGGCGGTGTGCCGGCATGAAATACCGTCCCGCTCTGCTGAGTACGCCAAGCTTTTTAGAGGCCAATTTGGCCTTGTCTTCCAAGTGACCACGAAACTACACGTCACTCAATATGTCAACGCCGAGGATTCCGATACTGGCTGAGGCAACAAGGGGAGTGCCTTGAAACAGAGGAGATACGACAAAGAGGTTCTTTTTAGCGATTAACGCGCAAACTTGTGTCTTCTAGGGGTTAAACTGGACTAGATTTAGTCGCCCCCAATCCGAGACTCTGTTCAGCAAGGACTCGACTTCAGACACAAGTTTGTTCCGGCACTCGGAGACGTTTTCCCGAGAAATATATGTATAAAAAAGTAAAGAGCATCACCAGTGCTGTCATCTGCATAGCAATGAATGTTACGAGTTTGCATATCATTGATATGCAGATGAAACAGCGTTAGCGATAGCACGCAGGCTTGTGGAACACCAGCATCAATAGGCTTGCAATCGGAGCTTGTATCGTCTACAACGACCTTGATGCTCCGATCTGCAAGAAAGCTGGTGATCCAATCGCACAATTTCTCGGGAAGTCCATAGGAAGGGAGCTTCGAAAGAAGCGCTTTGTGCCAAACCCGATCGAAGGCCTTCGCAATGTCCAAACTAACGGCCAATGTCTCCCCTTGGATTCTTCTGCCTCCGCCCATCTATGAGTTAGGTAGACCAGAAGATCACCAGCTGACCGACCACGGCGAAAACCGTATTGGCGGTCACGAATCAGCTAGTAATCCTCAAGGTACCTCATGAGCTGACAGTTTACAATGGACTCCATTGTTTTGGAGAACAAGGAGGTGAAGGCGATAAGCCGGTAGTAGAACGGGTCTAAGCGGTCGCCTTTTTTAGGTATCGGGTGGACGAAAGCCGTCTTCCATGATTTTGGGACTACGCCTAGGGAGTAGGAGTACCGGAAAAGACGCGTTAAATCCGGTGCCAACTCTGGAGTACACGTCCTCAGCATAATTGGGGGGATTCCGTCAGGCCCACTCGACTTGTGGATGTCCAGGGAGAGGAGTGTTTTGCGAACCGAGCGCTGTGTGAACTGCACCGGCATGGAGCACTCACACCGCAGAATGGTCGGCGGCGTACTCCCCCCGTCATTGAGAGTCGAGTTGGACGCAAAGAAAGAGCCTAGAAGATCGGCTTTCTCCTTTGTGGTATGGGCCAGTGAGTCGTCCTCTCTGTGAAGAGATCGAAGAGATGGCTGACAGAAATTCCCCTGGACAGCCTTGGCGAGAGACCAGAATGCACGGGTTCCAGAAGGAAGGCGAACTAGATTCTCGCCAATTCTGCCTATGTGCTCTGACTTTGCCTTGGCAATGACTCTTTTGAAGGACCTAGAGGCGGAATTATACTTCTTTTTTATTGCGATGGTGTTTACATCACGGGATGCTGATGCGTCAGCCCAGGCTCGGTAGCACTCCTGCTTATAGCATGATGCTATTTTACAGGAGCGACCAAACCATGGCTGAGACTTGCCTCCAATGCGCACCACAGAGGAAGGAATAAAAAGTTCCATACCCTGAAGTACCACATCAGCGACAGAATCCGCAACAACGTTGGGATCTTCCGGCGAGAAGCAAACCCGCCTTCAAGGGTAGGATGCAAAGAAAGACCGCATCCCATCCCAATCGGCTGACCTGTAGTGCCAAACACGGCGGCAGCCTGCAGAATGCAACTGCGATTTCAGCGTGAGTGGCACCACACTCCGGACAAGACAATGGTCCGAGGAGCCTAAAGGGGCTTCGAAGGAAATCTGATATCTGTCTGGGTGAGAGGTCAGCAGAACGTCCAACAGGGAAGGTGCATGATCCTCCACATCTGGAATCTGGAACCAGTTGTGTCAGACCATATGCCAAGGCAAAATCATGAACAGATCTCCCCGCATGATCGGTTAAACGTGAACCAAGCCATTCGGCGTGATGGGCGTTAAAGTCGCCGAGGATCACGATCTCTGCGGAGGGGATCTGCTGTAGCGACGAATCTGTGGCTATTTGGACGGACGGACGTAAACGCAAACTCCAGCCCGAGGCACAAAGGAGTGTTCCAGTTTGTACCCCGGGTAGGAGAGACACGAAACATCAGCCGGAGAGGACACCTGCGTCTCGGTCAGGAAGAGCAGAGCCGGCCTCGCCGAGTTCCTCTTTGTTCACCGCGGGTGATCAAGGCACGGCTA